AGGGAATTCTCGGAGTTCTAGTGAGAAGCCGTGATCAGTGGAGCTAATCCATGTCGGGTAGAGACAAGTATCTACCTCAATGGAAGTTGGTCGCACAATTTCGTGGATTGGCTGATGTTAGACACTATCACCATTGGATTCCGGCTCAGTGGTCCAGTTGCTTAGGAGTTCGTGCGCGAGACTGAAGGCCCTGAGTTCGAGTCCCGCGAGCGGGATGGTGGATGTGCACTACTAAGGAGTCCCACAATAGGACGAAACGGCCGTCCACTGCTTTCAGGTTTCGAAAGGTGGTGGTCTAACATCAATCGGTCTATGATCTCAATCAAAAATATATTTACTCATTTAAAAAGTTCCATTTGATGTAATTTCAATGAGTTTGCAATTTTACTTTGACAATAAGATGACATAATACTTTACTGAATCACTGGCAATCTAATAAGAAAATTTATTTAACATTGACAGACTTTTTGACATATCTAGCGATATTTTTAGTGAAATTAGTCCTGTTATCATTAAATTTCCCTCACTTAGAATTATCTTAAATAATTTAAGTTGTAAAAATAATGAACTTGTCAAGAAAGCTATTTAATTAAACTGATCAAACTTTCTTTATTCAAGATATAATGGTTATGTTTCCTCTCTATGTGTCCTATTGTTATGTGTGATACTGATGTCGATAGACATAAATAGTATGTATCATCAATTAAAAGTGAAACGCCTAAAGGTAGAAGGTTAAGAAGATTAAAGAAAAGAGAACAAGAACAAAGAATGATTAGTGCCGAAACGAAAGAACAATGAAGTCTGAGACGATTGATTGACATTTTTCAAATTAAGATTTTAATAAGAGATTCTACGATTTTGTGTTCAAATACACTTGATTGCCTACTCTTGTGTTCACGTTCACTACACTATAAGCTTTATGTAAAGTATTCAAAGATTTTACTTTTCTTTAAACGTTTAGATACGATATTTTTTGTATTAAAAAGTCTTCATTAAGTTAAATTAGGTAAATTTTCTTACAATAAAATGTCTTAAAATATTCAAGAATTCAATTACTTTATCATTGTTTTATTGCATTGTAACATTACCGTTAAGCTACATTATTTGAGTTTGATGTTTCATTTGTGAAGCTTTCATTGTTCATTCAAATAACTTTTATAATTATCACATTTTTTTATTGATTAAAATAATTCATTCACCGGTGAGACTAAAATTTATGAACGACCTTTGAGCGACGTTAGACTGACCTTGAAAGTGTTCACCTGTATAACCAGTACCAAATGAAGGTTATAAACCAGTGTGAGGAATTAGAATTATGATTTACAGTTGATGATTAAGATTAAAAATTAGATTTTTAAAGTTTTCATCACGAACTGATATCAACTATAATGCCAAAACTCTATTTAGCCAAATGGATTGAGTGAATTTCGCGCCAAAATTCGAGACGTATTATCTTATACTTGATTGATTCGTCCACAAATTATAGTCTTGCCTATTCACCTTTATCATTTACTATAAATGATGTTCTTAGCATATTATGACTATAAGCTTGGAAAAAAACTATTTGGGACATTTGATCTAATTTAATTGGAGTATATTGATAAAATGTATAGGATGTTAATATCGATAGAAACTACAACCAAGTGGATGGAATAGTTAAAAGAGTTCCGATTAAATAACTTAAAGTTTGAATACTTTTCCAAATAAACGTGATAAACAATAACATCTAACAATGAACATATTGATTGTTTAAAACTTACAATCATGTTTGTGAACTTATGTTGTCAAAGTAGTATGATGGGTTTTACATAGAGAAAGGAAAATATTTATCTTTTTCAAAACCTAAATGATTATGTTTTCTCAGTTTCGATCAGACCCCTACAATCATTTTAGAATTCATTTTGTTATGGATTGTTTGAATCTTTCGATTGATATTTAGGACTACAGTTAATTCATCTTATATTGACATGTGTTCATCCTGTACAGATTGCCACAATCACAAGTATCGTAGGCAAAGATGGATGGTGGCTAGCAGTGAAATCAAATACACGCGTTTCGTTGTATTTGCGACTCGGCAGCTAGGCATATTAAGCATCTTACAATGCTTGTGATTTAAGACAATATCAAGGCAATCTTCACAGGATGTACGCATTCCAACAAGAGACTGATCATTTACAATCCTCCACATCAATGGGAAGATTCAGTTAACGAATACAAAATGAATAAAAATTCACCTCGTTGCACAAGCTAGTGGGGATCTGAACTTATTTGTTAAGTGGATATTGCGATGACATTCAAAGCAAACAGTATTGGATTCGAGTTCCAGAGTGAACATCAACTCTGGGATGCATGTACATCCAGCTGACGAGACGCGCTTCCTCGATTCCACTGCTAGCCGCTAAACATTTCAGAATTTATAACGCCTTATATACTTCATGTGAAATTATCATCAAATGACTTTGTTGGAGATAGTTGAACTTTTTTTATATAGGATTCGTTCTTATTTCCTTCATTAGCAAGGTTTACTTTAAAATAAGTCAATATCACGTTTTCTATACGTTTTTTTCATGATGAAGTTTAGAATTAAATTTGGAAAACCACCTAACTAAGAACCGTCAAATTTATAAAAATAAAACATAACTACAAGGAATAAACTGATTATCTAATGGTTAACCTTCTAAATACTTTATCAAACGACTTTCCAGCTAACATCTCATGGAGCAAACGCTTCTTTTTGTGTTTACAGATATTTCATGACTATATGCATCAAGAAAAATGTTTCTAATAATAAACCTTTCCTGTTGACTTCCTTCAATCGTGAAATGTTTATGATAGATTATTATTGTCCTGGGTTCAAATCTCACGAGGCGGAATCGTGGAGGCCTACTGCTAAGGAGTATTACAGTAGAACGAAATTGCCGTCCAGTACTTCCACGTTTTCCATAGTGATCTATCTTCAATCGACTCAGGATCTCAACTATTAAAACGTCACTATAATATCCACACAAACCCCTTCTGATATGAGTCGACATATGCTCACTAGTGAAGGTCTCCAAGAGGTATTTCCTGGTGTTCTCGTGAGAAGTAATGACCAGTAGAGTTCAACCAGGTGTGTTGTAAGATGGTAATTTACTGAAGACAATGGTGTATGTGTCGCTCAATTTCGTGGATTGGTTGAAGTTACACATTAACATCGTTGGATGCTGACTGGCTCAGTATTCTAGAGTGAAAGCGTTCGCTCGTGAGACTGATAGATCCTGAGTTCGAATCTCACAGGGCAGGATAGTGGATACGCATTACTGAGGAGTTCCACAATCAGACGGACACGGTCGTCCAGTGCTTCCAGGTTTCCCATGATGGTCTAGCTTCTACTGACTCATGATCCACTAAACCCCTTCTGATATTATTGTTTTACCAAGTTACTATTAAAAATGTATCATATAATACTACAGATTAACTGAAAATTTTATTCTACTTTAAATTAATATTTACACTACTGATACATAATATGAGGAAGTATAAAATGCTTCTTAATATATTTGGTTGGATGTAAATACTCTTATAGGTACAATATGATCTGAATTATTTATACAAGTTGGATTTAGGTGAAATTAATTTGATTTGTACAGTAAGAATGCCAATTGGTCAACAAAATATCGAAAACAGTATTCTGAATCCCATGTATCAAAGCTAAAATTAAAAAAACAGATCATAAATAATAATATTGTTTTGTACTGATTATTATGGTGATAATAAACAATAAATAATGTTCTAGCATCTTCGACACTACGGCGTGCCTCAGAAGATAGTCAATATCATATGATGGATTACACTGCAAAATCGTGCATGGAGGACAGTTGACGAAGTCGTTCGAAGTGAAAACCGGTGTTAGGCAAGGTTGCTTACTCTCAACCTTTCTCTTTCTCCTGGTGATCGACTGGATCATGAAGACGTCAACATCTGAAGGGAAGCACGGGATACAAAAGACATCTAGGATGCAGTTGGACGATCTGGACTTCACAGATGATCTGGCCCTTCTATCCCAAACGCAACAACAAATGCAGGAGAAGACGGACAGTGTAGCAGCAGCCTCAGCAGCAGTAGGTCTCAATATACACAAAGGGAAGAGCAAGGTTCTCCAATACAACACAGCACGCACCGATCCAATCACAATTGACGGGGAAGATTTGGAAGATGTAAAAACCTTTACATATTTGGGCAGCATCATTGATGAACAGGGTGGATCTGATGCAAATGTGAAGGTGCGGATCGGCAAAGCAAGAGCAGCATATTTACAACTGAGGAACATCTGGAACTCAAAGCAACTGTCAACCAAAGCCAAGGTCAGGATTTTCAATACAAATGTCAAGACACTTCTACTGTATGAGGCGGAAACCTGGAGAACTACGAAAGTTATCATCCAGAAGATACAGGTGTTTATTAACAGTTGTCTACGCAAAATACTTCAGATCCGTTGGCCAGACACTATTAGCACCAACCTACTGTGGGAGAGAACAAACCAGATCCCAGCGGAGGAAGAAATCAGGAAGAAGCGCTGGAAGTGGATAGGACACACATTGAGGAAAGCACCCAACTGCGTCACAAGACAAGCCCTCACATGGAATCCTCAAGGCCAAAGGAAAAGAGGAAGACTAAAGAACACATTACGCCGAGAAATGGAAATAGACATGAAAAAGATGAACAAGAATTGGATGGAATTAGAAAAGGAGGCCCAAGACAGAGTGGGTTGGAGAATGCTGGTCGGCGGCCTATGCTCCATTGAGAGTAACAGGCGTAAGTAAGTAAGTAATCTTGTGAAGTGATAAAGATGTATATGACGTATAATTTGTGAGAATGCAGTAACTGGATAATATTGTGATTTTAGTAGTTGACATCATGATTCAATTGAAGCTAGACCACTATGGAAAATCTGTAAGTACTGGATGGCCGTTTTGTCCTATTGTGGGACTCTTCAACACTGCACCTCCACGATTCCACCTCACGAGATTTGAACCCAGGATCTATCGGTCTCGTGCACGAACGCTTGACCTCTAAATCACTGAGCCAGCCGGCATCCAACGATGTTAATGTGGAACTTCAACTAATCCACGAAATTGAGCATGAATATGACTCATGATCTCAACTATTAAAATTACTATAATATCCATAAAACCCCTCCTGATAATATTATGATTATTACAGCAACGTGTTAACCATTAAGACTAAGGTCGATTAATTTAATTACCACATGTCATTATAAATGATAATATACATAAATGAAGGACAACCATTCAAAAGGGAAATTCGATGCAATTAAGTATAACAGAATAAAACGAACTCATTATATACGTTATGAACAACAACCAAGTGTTTGTAAATAAACCATACAGTTCGAGGGACAGATTCCTTAAGTTGACAGTTAACTTGATCGTCATTTGTTTTCATCGATAAGCTAGTATAATAAAAACATCTTGCAAGATCAAAGAAGTACTCGCAAAACTTTTTAATTTGATAATAATGATATTATATTCATCGATATCGATGTGAAAGTTCTTAAGTCATGATAATCATTTAGATATAATGTAATCAGTTATCCAATTAACAATGCAATAAACACTCAAAAACGGAATTACATGTTATCTGAAATTGAAAGGAAATCATTTTGGTCACGACCAAACCATCCAGTTCAAAGAACAAAACTCCATCAAAATCACCCACCTGAGCTACAGTGCTTCTCCACCATTTCAAGAAAATAATCCACTAACTTTCAACGAATTGATACAAAGATGTATTTTATACTCCATGACTTGACAATTTATTATTCATTCATGGGTATTCACTGTTAAAAATTCTTAAGTTATGCTGAAATGGGTTTCATTGTGATCCATGATTGCCAGTGATACTTTACATGGTGTTAGTAATTTTCACAAATCATACAACTTTGTAATAATTGTTTTTCATGGCTTCATATCTTTCCTAACAATATTATTGTGTGTAAGTTCTCTAAATATTTTAAACGTTTAGTATGAACATGATCAACTACGCCTGGAGCCCCTCTAAGGCTACTTCCGGTTCCAAGCCCGGATAAAGGCGGAAGATTGGGTGTGGGGTTAACGAACCCATCACGTAGAAAACTAACTCGCTAAAAAAACACTAACCAGAATAATTATGAACATGATCGTTATTAACTCCGCCTGTAGCTCTTATAGGGTTACTGCCGGTCCCAAGCCCGGGTAAAGGAGGAGGGTTGGGCATGGGGTTAGCGTCCCCATCCCGTAGAAAACTAACTCGCTAAAAAAACGCTTACCAGAAAAAATAATCCAAACCATTTAAACTCTGTCCTGGGAGTTAGAAGGTCTTCATTTAGAAGAATTATGACGCTTCATGGTGAAAGCCGAGTTCCTTCGGAAGCCACGAGGCCGATGCCCCTTCTAACAACCAGAGCAAAACATTTTATAGGTACATGGAACAATGTGGGAAACCGGGAAGACCAGTCAAATAGCAATGGAAATGAGGAGATACAACTTAGCAGTACTGGGAATCAGCGAACCCCACTGGACCCAAGCTGGACAGAAAAGGCTAGCTACGGGAGAGATGCTGCTATACTCCGGTCACGAAGAGGACAATGCCCCACACACTCAGAGAGTCGCTCTTATGCTGTCCAAAGTAGCACGGAATGCACTTGTAGGATGGGAATCTCACGGATCCAGAATCATCAAAGCATCATTCAAAACAAAGAAGGAGGGGATCTTAATGAATATTATCCAATGTTATGCACCCACAAATGATAGCAACAACGACATTAAAGATCAATTCTACGAGCGGCTGCAGTCAGTCATTGAGAAATGCCCAAGAAAGGACCTAACTATTTTGATGGGAGATATAAATGCCAAAGTCGGATTAGACAACACTGGATATGAAGATATTATGGGACGACATGGACTGGGACAGAGAAACGAAAATGGAGAAAGATTTGCAAATCTATGTGCATTCAACAAACTGGTCATAGGAGGCGCAATATTTCCACACAAGCGTATACACAAAGCTACATGGATCTCACCGGACCACACTACAGAGAACCAGATAGATCATATTTGCATCAACCAAAAATTCCGAAAGACAATGGAAGATGTGAGAACCAGGAGAGGCGCTGACGTAGCTTCAGATCACCACCTAGTTGTGGCCAATTTAAAACTGAAGCTAAAAAAGAACTGGACAAGTGGACAAACAGCACTACAAAGGTTCAATACAGCCTTCCTTCGAGATACTGACAAACTCAATGAATTCAAGATAGCTCTCAACAACAGGTTCCAAGCCTTACAAGATCTACGGAAGGAAGAAGAAACTAGTATGGAGGACAACTGGAAAGGCATCAAGGAAGCATTAACTTCAACGTGTCAAGAGGTTCTGGGTCTAAAGAAATACCATCATAAGGAATGGATCTCTACAGAAACACTGGACAAGATCAAAAAAAGGAAGAACAAGAAGACAGCAATAAACAACAGCCGAACACGAGCAGAGAAAGTCCAAGCACAAGCTGAATACACAGAAGCAAACAAGCAAGTGAAGAGGAGCATTAGAGCCGACAAGAAGAAATACGTGGAAGAACTAGCAACGACGGCAGAAAAAGCTGCTAGAGAAGGAAATATGAAACAGCTTCACGATACAACGAAGAAACTAGCAGGGAAATACAGTAAACCAGAGAGACCGGTCAAAGAAAAAGAAGGCAAGCCAATCACCGAAATTCAACAACAGCGGAACAGATGGGTAGAATACTCCGAGGAACTCCTGAATAGGCCGGCTCCAATGAATCCACCGGACATCGAAGCGGCACACACAGATCTTCCCATAAACGTCAACCCACCAACGAAGGAAGAAATCAGAATGGCTGTCCGACAAATCAAGAACGAGAAAGCAGCGGGTCCGGACAACATACCAGCTGAAGCACTGAAGTCAGACATCGAAGTAACCACAAACATGCTTGACCTTTTATTCAAAAAGATTTGGGATGAGGAACAAGTGCCGATGGACTGGAAAGAAGGGCACCTCGTCAAGATTCCAAAGAAAGGAGATCTGAGCAAATGTGAGAACTATAGAGGCATTACACTGCTGTCAATATCAGGGAAGGTCTTAAACAGAGTGTTGCTGAACCGGATGAAAGATGCAGTAGACGCCCAACTTCGAGATCAACAAGCTGGATTCCGTAAGGATCGATCATGCACAGACCAAATTGCAACACTACGGATCATCGTCGAACAATCAGTTGAGTGGAACTCATCACTATACATCAACTTCATTGATTATGAAAAAGCATTCGACAGTGTAGATAGGAGGACATTATGGAAACTTCTTCGACACTACGGAGTTCCTGAGAAGATTGTCAACATTATCCGGAACTCATACGACGGACTACAGTGCAAAGTCGTGCATGGAGGACAGCTGACAGATGCATTCCAAGTAAGGACCGGAGTCAGACAAGGCTGTTTACTCTCTCCCTTCCTCTTTCTTCTGGTGGTCGACTGGATTATGAAGACCTCGACATCTGAAGGAAAACACGGAATACAATGGACAGCTCGAAATCAATTAGACGATTTGGACTTCGCAGATGACCTAGCCCACCTATCACGTACACACGAACAGATGCAGATGAAGACAGCCAGTGTAGCAGCAGTCTCTGCATCAGTAGGCCTCAGCATACACAAAGGGAAAACCAAGGTCCTCAAATTCAAGGCGGAGAACAGCAATCCAATCACTCTTGATGGCGAAACTCTGGAAAATGTAAAGTCCTTCACATACCTAGGAAGCATCATCAATGAACAAGGAGGTTCAGATGCAGACGTAAAGGCAAGGATTGGCAAAGCAAGGACAGCATTCCTACAATTGAAGAACGCATGGAACTCAAAACAACTTTCAACCAATATCAAAGTCACAATCTTCAATACCAACGTCAAGGCAGTTATACTGTATGGAACTGAAACTTGGAGAACTACAACAACCACAATCAAGAAAGTACAAGTATTTATGAATAGCTGTCTACGCAAGATACTCAACATCCATTGGCCGGATACCATCAGCAATAGCCTTCTGTGGGAGAGAACAAACCAACTTCCAGCTGAAGAAGAAATTAGGAAAAGACGATGGAAATGGATAGGACATACATTACGCAAATCGTCAAACTGCATCACGAGGCAAGCGCTGACTTGGAATCCTGAAGGGAAGCGAAAAAGAGGAAGGCCAAACAACACATTGCGTCGGATAATAGAAGCAGATATGAAAACGATGAATTACAACTGGACGGAGCTAGAAAGGATTGCCCAGGACAGGGTTGGATGGAGAATGCTGGTGAGCGGCCTATGCTCCTTCACGAGGAGTAACATGCGTAAGTAAGTAAGTAATGATCGTTATTATTATTTTAATTAATCAGATCAATACACTAGATAAATCGTCATAGACATACCTTCCAAATGTTGTTCCAACTTTACATTCCCAACAACCTGAATATGTCTCTTTGAATGTTTTCGCAATATAATCAGCTATATCATCATGAGATGAAAATAAATTCATAGCTTCTAATGATAATTCAATTGCATGTTGTTGCATTTGTTCAATTTTTTTAGTTGTACTGGACATTGTTCTATCACAATCAAACAAATAGAAACTATATATCACAAACGAAGTATATTTGTTACTAACTAAATTATTTCATTTTGATTTAGTATTTATATTAATAATTATAAGTATACATTCTTGTTTTATATATATAATTAGTAGCTTATAATCAATGACACTGTCTTGCCATTATACCAAGAAACTATTATTGATTACAATTGAGAAGCCTACAACCTTCTTATAATCAATTAATTATATTTTTTTACAATGACTGTCAATAAATTTCTTCTCATCTCTGAACTATATCGTCATGCTTGTCCATGTTCACGTGACTGTGCTAAAAGTAGCTATGCATGTTAAATGTTGAAAATAGACTTAAAAAAATTAATATCCATTTACTTTCATCATAATTACCATGTGATAAAGAATTTATTGTACACGTTAACTAGGAAGAATGTTTGTTTTTTTTGTCTCTAAGTAAAGAACAGTTAACGTTTTAATTACTAGATTTTTTGTATCTTTGAACTGATAATCAGTTTCGGAAATCAACTTGCCTCAGTGCTAATATAAAAAAAAGGAAAACTTATTATCTGAACATCTAATTTAATAGAATATTTAGTATTCGATAGATACAGTTAACAATTATTCATATCAATATGAGGTTTTGTGTATACTTTCAAATGTTGTCGAATCTATCGAAATGTTGAATTAAACAATTGAGATACCCACGAGACCGAAGTTCATAAAACAGCGATTTGTTTAAAAAAGAGATTTTTTACCGAAGAATAGACATATATTAGTTACTAATCTCAAATCTTGAGGTATCTGTTAAGCTTAATAAGTTTAAAATAGAAAAAGCTTCCTGTAATTATGACATACGATAGTGAAAATGACAGCTGATAGCAGTGTTTAATCTTGATCACAGTTTTTCAACAAACAAAAAATAACAAAAAGCAGACAAATGTGGAAACCGTTGTGTTTAAACAAAAATTAAACCGCTATACAAAATCGAGAATGACTGTTACAGGGATTGATAGTAAGTAATCACAATGATAAATAAAATTAATGTTATAAGTGTATGTAAAAATTTTAGATTGCAAGAACGACTTGCGTTAGAAATCGATAGGAATACAACTACTTACTAAATATAAATAAGTAGTATAAAACAATACACAAAAACGTTTTGATGATGAGAGAATAAGGATGGAACATAAACAAACTTAACAAGTAAATTGATATAAATGACTGTCTGGAATTTTTACGGTTGACATTCCAATAAATAATATGTATCATTTGTTTAACTTAAGGGAAGTACCGCTAAATCATATGTAGACCACTGGATGGTGCAAATAGCCAGTTACTTAAACCTCAAAGTTGATGCCTAATCTCAAATTCATTTAAAACTATTTAAATTCAAAATAGTACATTCAAAATGAAATAATTTTTTAAATGTTTGAATTTTTCCTTTTACACGCGATTTCCTAAGTTCTATTAGAGAAGTCATAGTTTAATTGTTATTTCGGTTTGAGCAGGGGTTTTCTTTCATTCAAATTATTTTACATCATAAAATCTTATTATATCTTGATTACCACATTTTATTTCTTGGTCTTTTTCAGGTTATCCCTATTTCTACTTAGCTAGTATAGACAAGAAATTTGAAATGTCACTCAACAATCATCAAAGTAGGGCCAACGACAGATGTACACTAGTCAGAATTGCAATACCGCATTAGTATGACGAAATAAAATTAACAAGATATATTGCAATAAAGGACTGGAATAATGTAGAAAAAGGTGAAGAATTAGGTATTGAGAATAGGGTTCTAAAATACGGGATAAAAAGTTATATAATAGGAAATACCTGAATTTATGATCCAGAAGATGATAAGAAGTGAATGCATCTATGCTATTGTTAGGACTTGACGCGCGCTATCTAAAAAAGACAGTGGTATTGTTTCTCGTTAAATTAGTAAACTGTTTTGATCGTAAATTACGTATCAAAACTACGATTTACACTTTAATTGAATCTACTTTAGTTATTTTTACTGAGTTTTTTTTAGCTTTTGTGTATTTTTGTTACATTCGAAAGCATTCTTGCTGTATCAAAATACTCTAGTTAAAGTTTGACATCTTGCTAGAGTTTGTCTTGTGGTTCATACTGTGATCATATTGTGTGTTACACCTTGATCAAACTAAAATGGTTGGTAGTACCCACAAATGTGGACAACCAAACTGATTGTTCCCTGTGGAGGAGGGAATGCAGTGTGACGAATGCAATAAATGGTTCCACAAAATGTGCACCCGTTTAAGTCCCACTGCATATAAAAGATGTTCGAAGCCTAACTCACATTGGCTTTGCATGTTTTGCTGTGCCAACAAGGCATTGCTAATACAGGAGGCTATGAGCCTATTGGCTTTGGCCTGTAAGAAGAATGATGGTATATGCGCCGACAACACGGGCACTGACAGTGACGAATGTGTCAGTGTTGTTACGCGACGCCTTAAACAACCGACTCTGACCGACGTAAAAGTGAAATCTCCGTTGATACTAACAGGGGGAGTAGTACCACCTAGTACTGACATTGGTAATAATGCATCTTTAGTGGAAACCGAAGATCTGGATAAAACAATCACCGTTCTAAATAGTCCCAGTGTTATGAGGGATGAAAAATGGACTACGGTACGTAGGAAACGAAACGATAAAAGCTGTAGGCGATACACAGGTAGTTAGTAACTCACTGGTGGACTCAAATTGTGAGCCACAAATTGCACTACCAAGATCTGATCGTAAGAGTGAAACCCATCCTGGCGTAACTGAGAAGAAAAATCTAATAACATCGAATATTATTGTGAGCAAATTGCCGGAGTCAAATGACCCTGATCCGAAAATTAGACACGCGCATGACTTATAAAAGCTAGGAGAATACATTCGTAGTATTTTACCAGATAACTCCAAAGGAGTTCAGGTTAAAATGTTGGTAAGAATAGGCAAGAGGACCGAGGACAATGTTGAACCCCGTCCATGCAGACTCCTTAAGGTAATCCTAGGACCGGAGAAGCAACGGGATCTCTTGTTAAGTAGCGCTCGTTGTCACGACAATTCTGACATCCGAGTTAGACCTGACATATCTCTCGAAGATAGAATAAAAAGGAAGAAAGCACTAGATGAACTTGAAACCCGTCGGCAAAACGGCGAGGAAAATCTCCGGCTAGTGAGTTTTCGGATAGTCAGGTCTTGGAAGCGAATGCTACCAAGGCCTGTGTGGATAGGCTGTTCTACTTAGGAGTTTTATATGCCAACGCTCGTAGTCTACGAAATAAGTTCTATGAACTAGAAGCACTGGTGGACAGGGTAAAGCCACTCATAGTAGCAGTGACAGAAACTTGGTTAGTCGATGACTTAGACATTACTCCAGAATTATCCGGATATCACTGCATCAGGAGTGACAGACATAGATGTAGGAAAGGAGGCGACGTCCTGTTATACATAGCTAATAGCATAAATATCCGCTCCTCTACTAGCGAATCCCATGATAGCGGCACTTGTGAAGTCATTAGCTGTAAGTTGGCTATCGGATGTAGTACATTTATGCTCGGTGTCATCTATCGCAGCCCAATCTGCCTAGCTGATGACTTTGTTGTAGAGCACATTCATCTTTGGAGTGAAAATACCAGATGTTTGATAATAGGAGACTTTAACGCACCTGATATTAGTTGGACTGATATGACCACAGCAGGATCTATAAACTCCTTTGATAGTAAGTTCCTGATAACAATAATGGAGCATGCACTAGTACAGCATGTATCCCAACCCACACGTTTTGGTGTTAACCAGGGTTCTTCTCTGCTGGATTTGGTAATCACTCATGAGACTGAGGATATTGTCGACTTCAATATTCTCCCGCCGTTAGTGAACAGCGACCACGCTGTTTTGTCATTCACGTTTCGAACTAGGGACATGTTATACGATCAGGTTACACCTCGCCCAAATGTATGGAAAGCTAACATATCAGCCATTCAGGAATGTTCTGCTAAGACAAATTGGCTAGTAGATACTAGCATATCAGTTGAAGAAGCATGGTCTGTATTTAAAGGTAAATTTAGACTAGTTACGTCTCCGTTCATACCATACCTGGTACCGCGAAGACTGAATAATAGTCCACCATGGATAAATAAAACGGTCAGGAAACTCCTTAGAAAAAGGAAGAATCACTGGGATATGTTCATCTCTACTGGCTTAGAACAATACAGATCCAGTTATTGTAAGATTAGGAATGCCTGTAAAGCGTTAATAAGTAAGACTAGACTATCATACGAAAAACAATTGGTTAGGAATTCTAGATATAGTCCGAAACGGTTATTCTCGCGAACTAAGAGAAGTTATGGAATTCCATCACTTTTGATACGAGAAAATCCGTTAATCTGAGCAGAGAATGATGCCGAAAAAGCTGAAGCTTTATTGGAATACTTTAGTAGTGTTTTATATCGGTAATGAGGAACGACCAATGATTCGTCGCGACCGTGACGGCTCGCTGATGGATCCTGTAGTCATTGAGAAAGATACTGTTTTAAGGCTACTCCAGCATCTCAAACCTGATAAGTTTAGTGGTCCTGACGATATTCATCCTAGGGTTATGAAAGCCATATCAGATGAAATTGCTGAACCATTAGCGATACTATTCGACATGTCTATGAGACAGTTCAGACTGCCTAGAGACTGGAAAGACGCCATAATAAGTTCGGTGTATAAGGCTGGGGGTAGGGATTTAGTTAGTAACTATAGACCCGTTAGCTTAACTAGTGCAGTTGTAAAACTGATGGAGAAAATCATTCGGATAGCTGTTATAAACTATGTTGAAGGGCAAAATCTTTTCTGCAGGGAACAACATGGTTTTCGGAAAGGCCTATCTTGTTGACAAATCTTCTCATTGCACGAGAAGATTGGGCTGCGGCAAAGGATCAGAATGCTCCTGTGGATGTGATTTTCATAGATCTAAGTAAAGCCTTTGATAAGGCTTCCCACTCTAATCTTAAATTCAAGCTGAAACGTTTTGGAATCCATTATAAAGTCGTTG